AAAGGATCAAATCCTACTAAGGTCAGTAATTTGCAGACACACTGCCTGGCCCTGCTTCTTACCTGCTGGCCCCCATCCCCAGGGGTCCACACCCGGGCATCAGCTTGGCAAGGGCAGTGCCCCCGGATGTTAAACTTGACCCAGACCTGGTGCACTGCAGTGCTTAATTCTGCCAAAGCTGTGAAGGGGAGAGGGGAGGTAGAATTTGCTGGTGAGTGCAGGCAGGAGGCCACCCCTGTGCTGCTTGGCCTCACCAACTGGGAGAGCATGGGATCTGGCAGTGGAGGGACATCCAAACAGGAAGCTGGTCTCCCCCAGGGCCCGCCCTCTGTACGCCCCACCCCTCTGTGAGAGCTCACCCTGGCTGGAGACAAACTGGGTAAGCATCAGGGAACAGGCACTGTGCCCAGCCTCCTGGGCACACTTCTCCGTGGACTGTTCCTGACAGCCTGTAGGGTAGGAAGGGGGAAGCTGCGGGTCAGGAAATCAAGGTGACCCCAGGTTAAGGTCAGGGAAGAAGGGCAAGGGCATGATATCCAAGTCCGGGGCCTTGACAATCTATAAAACACGGGCTTTCTGGGAAACTTGGGTTCAGTAGTGACATAAGATCTTTTGCTTGCAGAACACAGAGGCTTTAATGTGCATTGCAAGGCTGCAAGATAAACTTGTAGAATACGGTGTTCCCAAAGGTTTCTGACCCTGGAGCTTTTTTTGGCCGAGTCTACCGGGAAATTTCAAGTGTGGAGGTGGCTAAGTTGAGCCAAGGGAGAGAAAGCTGAGAACTGTGAAAAGAGCAGGACTTGGAATCCGAAGACCTGAGCTTAAATCCTGGACCCAATACTTACTAGCTGTGTGACCTTGGACAAGTCACTTAACCTCTCTGAGTTTTTCTCATCTGGAAGATGAAGGCAATAATACCCACCTTACCATGTTGTAAGGTTTAAAAAGGTGGCAGCTGAGCAAAGTGAGGGGCAGAGACTAGGCACTCGACTTCTTTTAAGGGTGGGCAAGGATGTGGGCACAGCCCTCTGATCTGGGGAGAGGGAAAGGCCTGCTCAAAGGAGCACTGAGCAGTGGTGGCTGAGGCCGAGGGTGGGGAGGGAGGATTCCTTGGGGGAGAGGCTGCCAAGAATTGGCCACAATCCTTGGAGCAGCCCTTCCGAGGCCCCCAGTTCCTTTCCTACCTGCTCTCTCCCTGGCCCTCCCAGCGCCTGCCATGCGGCCGCAGGCCACACACAGCCTGCGGCTGCAGCGGGGGCACCGCCAATGGGTGTTGAAGAGTTCGTGGTGGCAGCGGCTGCAGCAGCGTGGAATGCCCGGGTTGTCCTCTGCCCCCGCTGGCTCCTGGCCTGCTGACCACGAGAGAGAACCGGGTCAGAGGGGCCTCAAGCCACTGGCCACTTCGAGGACCTCATAGGGGAGGCCTCCAGGCAGGGATGGACATACAGGAACAGTTTCCATCAAGAGGCTGCCCCAGAAGGGAGACAGGCCCCTTACAGACACCCCGCCAACCCTCCCAGGGCAGTGCAGGCCTCACCTCCCCAGTGCCTGCCTCAGGGCTTCCCAGGCCACACCAGTCCCAACACAGCCCATCATCCACCTCCCTCCCTCGCGGGCGCTGTCCTCGGAGGACTCTGCGTCTCAGAAGAGGAAACCTTAGTAGGAGGCTGCTCTCTCCCTCACCCAGTCTCAGACTAAGCCCTTGTTGGCAGGAGGGAGGAGGCCAGTGAGCACACGTTCACTTACTCATTCGACAAACACCTTGTCCCATCCCGGGCTCCGGGCTGGGAATTCGGAACTGGTCAGGACCCGGCGCTTACCCTCCCAGCACTCACATCGCAAGGGGGGAGATGAACCCATAAACACAGCAATGATCATGGCATCACGGGGTGGGTGCCAGAGTACAAAAGTGGGACGGGTGGGGACAGCTGGCCAAATGTGCCCCGAGTGGTGACTAAGTTTTCATTCACTGGGTAGGAAGGGAGGGGAAGGGCATTCCAGAGAGAAGGAACAGAGGATGCCAAGGCCTCAGGGGGCGGACAAGCTCAGGTGAGCAGAGAGACCTGGGCAGAGGTGATGCGGTGTGCCGGGAATCCGGGTGGAGGGAAGGGGTGGGGTGGACAGGGGTTGGCTGTGAAAGAGGAGGGGGCTGGACTTCCTGCGGCAAGAGGCAGCCACCAATGGGCTCCACTTAGGGAGTGACAACATCACAGGTGAGTGTTTTCTAACATCCCGTGGAAGAGGCGCAGGAGGGGCAGCCTAGAGCCTAAGGGACTAGCTGAACGCCCCTCGCCCTGTCAGTCTCCAACCTCAGCCCCAATCCTACCAGCCTCCTAGGGCCCAGGTCCCATGAGCCTGCCGCCCGGAAGCCTTCCTTCCCGTGCAAAGCCGCAGGGAGCCCCCTCGCCTCTGGGTGATCTTGCAGACACTTGGCACTCAGTCTTGTTTCCCCAACAAGCCCAAAGCTCTTAGAGAGTCGAGCCAGACCAGGTTTTACACCTTCCCAACATCACCCGCCCAGGCCAGAAACCAGAATACAAGTTGACTCAGAGCCTGAGCTGGGAAAAAGGGCGAAGCAGGGCAGGAGCTCTCCCGAGGTGGCGGTGGCAGCAGGACCAGCAGTGCTGTGGGAGGGAGGCCCCACGCTCCCTGTGAAAGCACTGACCACAGGACCTGGCCCTCCTGGGATCCTGAATACCCGGTGGGGCCTGCTCACCTTCCCGCTGGGCCCAGGCCAGGGCCTCCCTCTCCCTCCGCAGCAGGCGGCACAGTCGCTCTCCCAAAGCACTTAGCAGGTGCTTGGCGAGGCCCACGCTGAGCCCGGCCTCCGAGCCAGACCCTCTTCCCTCCTCAGAGCTGGCTGCCGAGTCTTCCTCCTGCTGCTGCTCCCCTCCCAGAGGCAACCTGGAGGCAGGGCAGAGGAAGGTGAGGTGGGAGCCCCAGTGGGAGGATGCTGGGGGCCTCCAGGGCAACAGGCTCACCTGGGTACTGGCTGGGAGTGACAGGCCAGCCCTCCCGCCTCGCCAGCTGCCTGGGCACAGCTTTGACACTGAGTGATGCCCACTGGGGGAGCCGCGCAAGGTGTATCAGAAAGCCCTGGGTCCTGGAGGCTGGCCCTGCCGTCTCCCGGTCCTGAGGGGACAATGCAGCTGGTCAGGGGGCTTCTGCAAACCCCAGGCCCTGCGTTAGCACCCAGCCCGTCTCCACGCAGAGCCAGCCCACCCTCTAGACTCAGGCCTATGAGGCCTGATTCAGAACTAGCTAACAGACAGCCAGAAACTTCATCAAAAGGCTGAGTGTAGAGGCTGTGAATTCCCTGACATGGGCTGATGGGCCGAGAGGAGGGCTCTGCCGTGCTGGGCCTAAGGTTGGGGTAGCTAGGACGCAGGATCCAGCTGGTGCAGACTTTAGATAGCGCTGCCTCGGGATCAGCGATACTGCTGGCTGCCTGGCAGTGTGAAGAGGCAATCCTGACGTGGACGGAGGGCGCCGGAAGGTGAGAAGGCTGGAGAGTTTCAACACAGGCCACAGGTGCTGTAACCCAAGAAGGCAGAGGGGCCAACAGCTTCCCAGCCCCAGGCAGAGGCCCGGGAGAGCGTGGACAGACCCATGCCAGGTGCAGGGTGCTTGGGCAAGGCCAGCGAGAGTCCCGATCCAGGCTGGGCGGTCCAGGAGGCCAAGAAACTGAGGTGATCCCGAATCACTGAGGCTGGGGCTGGCAGTGCCAGAACTCTCCATGAGGGGCACAGTGTGACAGAGGGGTCCAGGATGTGCCCAAAGTCCTAGCAGAGTCCAAACTGAGTTTCCATGGTCCGGCTTGCTTAGAGAGTAGTTGTTTGCTCCTGAGACAGGACAAGGGGACCTTCAGGAGAGGCATTCTCCCCAACGAGAGATTTGTGGCACGAATAATCACAAAGATGACTGTTCATTGAGCGCTTACTGGGTGCGCTTTACGCAAATGATAGCACTAATCTTGGCGGCAGTCTTGAGGTATGTCTTGAGCAGTATGAGGTAGGGCTGTCCTTATCCCCATTTTATAGATGAAGAAACCGAGGCCCAGAAAGGTGAAGTAACTAGCCCCAGGGTCACACAGACCCAGTCAGCAAAGTCAGGACTCAGGCACTCTGACTCCAGAGTCCATGCTCTGAACACTGGCATTACACTGTCACCAACACACCATGGCTTGGGAGGAGGCAGATGACAATGGAAGCCACTTGCTGGAAGGCTCTGGCCTGTAGATGCTAAGGAACTCCCAGAGAGCTATCCCATCCGAGTGGGAAATCAGATAGCTGGGTGTGATCTACTCATAAAGGCCTACTGACCTCACCTCCCCGCAGAGCCCCCGCCCTGGCCGTGCCCTCCCAAGTAGGGCCCCCTGCGGCCCCTCCCCTGCCCCCTTACCTCTGTGGTCATCATGCTGTTCTGTCTCCGCCTTGTTCCCAAATGATGAGTCCAGCACCTCCTGCCAACCTCTGGCCCCTCGCCCTGGGAAAGGGCCGGGTGGGCGCTTGGCAGCTGGGCTGCCCACTGCTCCCTGGACCTCCGGGCTGCCTGCTCTCTTGAGGGCCCGCAGCTGAGTGGCTGGGCTCTCCTCCTCCCCAGGGCAGCTATCTGGGCACCCAAACTGCTCAGAGTGTCGTGTGAGCCATGTCCTCTTCAGTTTGGTGTGATGGCTGGGTGGGCAGGCCCTGGGACCAGGGGCCTTGTTTGCTTCCTCGCTGGATTCACTGGGCCCACTGGTGTCCCCCTCCAGGCCCTCCTGGCACTTCCCACAAGGGCCAAGACTTCCATCTCTAGTGGGTGGGTGAGATGAGCAACAGCCCACCTGGGTGGCAGGAGGCCCAGGAGAGGGGCACTTTGATGTGGCTGATGGCCCCAGCTGGTACCCAAGGCTCCCACCTCCTGGTACAGCCCAGACATTGCCAAGAGTATGAACCAGGCCTGGGGAGCAAGTGGGCCAGGGGGTCCGGGGAACAGTGTCTGGATGCCCCAGGAGAAGGGGACAAAGATTCTGATGCCTGCTGACTCCTGTCTCTCCATCCCTCTGGTGGACTGAAGGGTGTTCCACTTCCCTGGTTCTTTGGAGGTGCCCACCAGGGGCTAAGCCCAAAACCCCAGGTTCCACAGTTGCCAGTGGCTCTTTTGCCAGCCTGAGAATGCTTGGATCCTTGTGGTTAAAGCCCTAAAGAGAGGAGAAGGGATTAAGCCAGTGAGGACTTTGGTTCTCAGAGCTTAAAAGGATGAGCTGAACTGACAACCAGCAGGTATGAATCTTTGTGGCCTTAAGGGTTGTGAAAATACTGAAGAACTCACATACTGGTCCCCTAACTGCCTCCCTCATAGCCCTGGCTACCCCCCGACCTCTCCCCAGGGTTTCTCAGACCTCTCCACCATCCAGCAGCTAAAGGGTTGATACCTGGCACAGCCAAAGAGCCTGCAGAATCTATTCAGACTGTGCGATGCTCTGTACCATGTTGGACTGAAAATATTCTACATCTCATGCCTGGGCGCCAGGGACACTTGTGAGGGACGTACAGGCCTGGGGCCCCCTGCACACACCACTCCTGGATAGAAGGCCTTGTCGGCCCCTCCCCCTGGACCAGACCACACATTCTGAGGCCCCTGTTCCCAGGGCCTTGTTCTGGGTGGACAATGGGTGAGTCAATTCCTGAAAGGGCCTACAGGCAGGGGAGGCCTGATGAGATGGGTTTGCTCAGAAGAGGAATTGCTTGGGGTTGACTGTGAGCTGACAGGCTCCTCCTTTGCCCAGGTACCGCCTTATCTTTCCATCAAAATGGAAGAGCAGAGTGCTTTGGTCCTGGCAGGGTCGCTCGGGGACCAATGAGCCAGCCTGAGCCCTAGGTACCCTCTCTGCTCCAACACTCACCTTGCTGCCTAAGCTGAAGGTAGAGGGCACTTTGGGCTGGCCCCCGGAGTACACCCAGGGGTGTGGGGCCAGAGGCCAGTCACGTGGATGCTCTGGGGGCAGGCTAGACACTAGGTAGGGTGGCAAGCAGGTGGGCACCCAGAAGGGAGCTCGCTCCAGGATCTTGGTCTCTAGAAGGAAGGGGCAGTGCAAGGGCCGGAAGGCCACAGGGTCACTCTTGGGATGGCTACCGCCATGCTCAGGAATCAGGGGGTCATAGCGAGGTGGGCACGCAGACCCGCAGAATGCCAGTGGATGGGTAAGCATCGCTTCCTTCCAGCGCAGCCCCTCCCTGCTGCCCAGCCAGCCAGCCTTTCTCTCCCCATTCCGGGGGACTTCACCCTCCACCAGTGGGAGCATGTCCTTGGGGCTCTGGGGGAAGCCAGTGGGAAGCCAGGAGCCTGGAGTGCTCAGGACACCCCTCCAGAAGGGAGCGGGCTCTCTCAGGCACATTGCCGCAGGGTGCAGGCCATCTTGCGGCGGGGTATCCGGCTCCTGTCCCACGATGCCGTTCTCAGGGGCTGTCTTCTCCCAGGCTGGGGTGTCCTTCAGGAAGCTGGGTGTACTCTCCATCACTCTCCTGCCCTCATGGGGCTCTCCCAGAGTGGGTCCCTGGAGCATAACCACCAAAGCATGGGCTTCTTAGGCACATGCCCGAAGCACCCTGGCACAGAGTGGGCACCGCCCTGGCAGCACAAAGGCGCCTCAAACCAGTAAGGCAAGTGCCAACCTACAACTGGGCTCCATGCTGCCTGCCTACATGTGACTCCAAGGACCCGCGTGGGTGGGATGCTCCAGTGTGGGTCGGTCACCCCTTCCCTAGAATGCCTGGGACTTGACAGCCCACCTGGGCCAGAGCCCCTCAGCAGATTCTGCCATTTCTGAGATGACATGTACTGGCCTTACTGAGCCTGGAACTGGTCATGAGCCACGGGGAAGCACAGGGGGCAAGAACCCAAAAGATGAGCTCCCTGGAAGGCACTGCACTGGGAGACAAGATGTCTGGATCCTGGCCCTGATCCAGTCACCTGCTGTGTGACCTTGGGCAAGGCATGTCACTCCTTTGGGCCTCGGTGTGCCCTTGTGTAAAACAGGGCTGGGAAACGGGCGGTCTCAGAGGCCTGTTCCCACACTGCAGTCAGTCCTGTGGCTCTAGGGGAGACTGTCGGCCCACCCCCAACCCCTCAGCCCCAGCCAGGCTTGTTTGGGTGGGAAGCGAACGTAGAGCAAGCTGGAGTCACTGGGAAGGGCGGCAAGGCAGGGCTGCCGGCAGGAATGGCTCCCTACACCTGGGCAGCCAGGAGTCTGCCTCTTCCCTGAGCTCTTCGGTTCCTTGGCTTCTGAGGCAGCGCGAAGGACAACTGCTGAGGGCCGGGATCTCCACCGCTGCCCCCAAGGGAAGGAGTGAGCCACCACAGGAGAGCAGGGTTAAGAGGCCTCAGCCGGGATGGGTCAAGATGCCACAGTGCCGGGGCCGCCGGTGGACGTCGGTAACTGTACGCCCGGCTGCTGCGGAGCGAAGGAGGCGGGGAAAGCGGGCTGGGCCCCAGAGGGAGGCAAAGGAGGGAAAATTGAACGTGCGTGCAGAGGACCAGGATGACAGGTGGCACCAGAGCCGCAGCGCTCTCCCGGCGCGGCCACCTCGGCCCGCTGAGGGAAGCCCCAGGGAGGAGGCGAGGGGGCCCGGGGAGCTGCGACGGAGAGCGCTCGGGGTTTTGGGGGCGGCAGCTCCGACGCGGTCCGGCCCCGTCGGGCATCCTAACTTTCAGAGCTGCGGCCC